ACCCTTAAAACAATGAAAAAGCATGGATTTAAAGTAAGCGTCTATTTCTTCGTACAAGGATAGAAAACTCATTACCCAAACATGTTTTCTGTTATTTTTCATATGTTTCATTTTCATTATGAAATATTGCAGTCATATAGCAAGTATGCTGAATAATACAGTCAACACCCAGCTTAATGAAATACTGCACAGCTCAGTGAATCCAGCTGATTATCCCTGCTGCCTATAGTCCTTGTCCGCCTTCTTCCTGACTCCCCTCATAAGCCCAGAAAATACTATATTGCAGAGGTATTCACGTTGCATAAATGTAGCCCCTCCAACCTTTTTTCTCCTCACAGACCTCTCCAGAACATGAAGTCCCAGAAAATCCTAATAATAAACATTAATCATACACAGTCTTCTCCAAGAACCCATAAAGGCTCCCCATACATCCCAACTTCATTAATGGAGTCCCTGAGGTCTGCAGATCTGGAGCTGGTAAGCCTCATCATCTTGTTATTTCATTCACAAATAACCACACTGGTTCCACCAGAGGCACCCAGACAAGAGCTAACATAAGCAAATGTTTCACTCATTGAATCCATTTGAACTGCAACGTGTAGACACTGTAGTAGCTGCTGTAATTTGAGCAATGATCTGTGTGAATTATGTAGCTGTTGTCATTTATGATCTAATTTCAACTCAACATTACCATGCAATGCTTTTTAAATTTTGTTATATGCTCAACATGAAAAAGAATATTATTTATAATTCTCTGCCTTCCGAGAAGGTGAGTCCTGGTAACCGGAGGGTGTTTGGTTTGCCGAGCACAAGTGATGGCCTCAGGAAATGACCTTTCGCTTACTGAAGCCTGAATAACTCTGACCGAGAAAAGGGAGAACCTGAGCCCAGCAGAAAGATACAGGAGCTAAAGGTGGTCACCGGGGACCAGAGAGCTTGAAAGGCTCCTTATGGAAAAGATCAAGAGAAAAAAATGGCCAGGGGCTTAGGACAGAGACCAGAGACTTCAGAGAGATTTTCAGTCAGTGCAGTAGACAGAATTGCCATGGAAGAACCTTGCCACCCTCTATACTTTAAAGATAATATAACTAAGAAAAACTAAAGCGAATGTTAAAAAGAAAAAAAATTATAACCGGTGTCAAAAGCAAAATGAGAAACCCTTAGGTGCCAGAAGCAAAGTCGCAAGTTTGAACTAAATCTAAATACTCCCAGGTTTTCACACTGCATAAAAGCCAGAAGGGCTGGATGCTGAGGGTTGTTTGTTTGTTTTTTTGTTTTTTTTTTTTTTTAATTACCCCGTAGGTATGGGAGATTTGGCTGTAGGCCTATTTGAAGCAAGAAGCTGAACCTGAATGTCTTGCATAGTCTTTAAATGAGGAATAAGATTTCCACCCTCCGGACTCAAGAAGCAGCAAAGGAAGCTGGCTGTCTCCCCTGGACCACAGGTGAAAAAAAGTCATCCTTGAGAAACTGGAGCTCTTACTGTGCCCAAATACACATTAGATAGTAGGGTAGCACCACCCTGAGAAATCAGTAATACAAAGCTCGTCTGGAATTGGTGAAACTACCTATGGAACCCGACAAGGGGAAAAAAAAATCTTCCGCTGAAGATGAGCCTACAATCAGAAATAACAGACCCTGCAAGGAAATGAAACAGTATGACGGAGAATCAGCAAAGGCACAAATGAAAGAAGTTGCACTCCATGATACAGAGATAACAGAATCAAAAGTACGGCAATCTTTGTCAAGTAGATACAAGAGACCAAAGGGGCAGCTTCTGTCCAGAGGTGAGATGGGAAGGCAGAGAGTTAGGAGCTGGTTGAATGGTCATGGGAGATCAGGGGTGGAAAGGAGGAGTGTGCTGTCGCAGAATGGGGTGAGCAGTTAGGATCTCATAACAATGTATGTATAAAAATTTTGTATGGGAGACTAACTTGAAATGTAAACTTCATTAAATTACAGCAATAAAAAAATAAAAGACGAGAACAGAAAATTTGAAAAAGAATCAAATAAAAATATTAGCAATGAAACATATAGTCGATAGATGGAGTAAACAATAAACTGTACACAGCTAAGAGGATTGGTGAATTTGAAGGCAGAACTGCAAAGCGTCAAAGACAAAGAGATTTTTCTTTTTCTACCCAAAGCAGGGGCAGATTAACCAGTAAGCAAGGTACACACAGGCTTACTTGTATTTACTTACTAATCTGGGTAATACATCCCTGACGCAAAGAGAAAAGATTATCTAAAGGAATGGCCAGTACTCTGACTGCAGACTTCTCAGCCACTATCGAGGTAAAAATACAGTGAAATTACTATTCAAACTGTTAAAGAAAAATAACTGTCAACCAAGAATTCTCTACCAACTAAAATCTTATTCAAGACTGAGAGCGAAATAAAGACATTTTTTGACACGCGCAAAGACAGAAGGGGGAACCGTAAACTTCTCAGTCTAGTGAGGGATTTTAAAATACTTCTCTTAAAAACTGATACATCAAGCAGACAAAAAAATTAGTAGAGATGTAGAAGATTTGAACAATAAAATAACTTGACCTAGTAAGCATAAATAAGATAAAGAATAAACAGTCTTTTCAAATACACATAGAACATTTATAAAAATTGATCATGTACTAGACCACAGAGGATGTTGCCACAAATTCCAAAGGTGAATATCATACCAATCACACTTGTTTTTACCAGAACGCAGTAGAATTAGAAATCAATAATAAAAATTCTCACAAATCACCAATATGCTGGAAAGTATAAAAATAAGTAAATTTTTTAAACAAAAAATTAATATTTATGTGACTAATTTGTAAAAATCAAAATGGAAATTATAAAATATTTAGAAATACAAAACAACAAATGTGCTCTCAATCAAGACTTATGGGATACAGGTAGAACATTTCCTAGAAGGAAACTCTACAGCTTTTGAATGCATTTTTGAAAAACAGCAAGAATAAAAATAATGAGCTAAGTGTTCTATTCAAGGAGGGAAAAGAACAATAAACAAAAAGACAAGAGAGTAGGAAATAATATACATGAAAGCCAAAATAATGGAATAGAAAACAGAAGAACTATGTAAATGATGAACAAAGCTAATTGTTTGAAAATATAATAATAGACAAATCTCTGGACTGATAAAAAGGAAGAAAGTGCAATTAAGATTAGAAATGAAAAAAGCCATGAACATTCCGATGCTAGTCAATTTGCAGACTTAGACTAAATCGGAAATTTCATAGAAAAATATAGCTTGCTGTGAGAAAATGGGCTTGGATGCTAGCGATCTGGTTGCAGAGACGCTGCTCCAGGGACACAGTACATTTTCCTCTCAGTGAAGATGTGACCTGGCTGATGCTTGCGATCTGTATAATTTGGCTTGAGATCTGTATAATTGTGTTACTTCCTTTGAAGTAATGATAGAAGTGATAAAAAGTACCTCTACCTTGTACAGAGTGTAACCTGCAGCTGTGAGCTGTGTTAGAGGTTCTGGAGGTCCTGGGAAGCTGGGCTGAGATGGGCTGAATCTGCTCCTGCTCTGTGTGGCCACCTGGCATCCTCCAAGTTCCCACATCCTTAGCTAAATAAGTTCATAATATGTGGTATGGTATGGGGGTGAGGGGGTTGTGGGTAGTCCCTTCCTGCCATCTCAAATGTTTTATTACCGAAACTAACTCAAGAAAAAATAGAAAACCTGAATACAACACAACACTTATGATACAGATGATTAAAATGAGGCTTAAAACTAGTAGGAAGTATACACCAATGTTCATTATAGCATTATTCACAATAACCAAAAGGTCGGAAAAATTTCCAATTGTCTGTCAACAGATGAATGGATAAACAAAATGTTGTATATCCGTACAATGGAATATTATTCATTCATAAGGAAAAATGAAGTTCAAATTCATCCTACAACATGGATAAACCTTGAAAACATCATGCTAAATGAAATGGCAGCACAAAAGGACAAATATTGTATGATTCCACTTAGATGAAATATCTGAAATAGGCAAATGCATAGAGACCAAAGTTTGTTAGTGGGTACCAGGGGCTCGGGGGAGGAGAAAATGGGAGGTTATTGTTTAAGGGGTACTGAATTTCTGTTTGGGCTGATGAAAAACGTTTAGAAATAGATACTGGTGATGGTTGTATGATACGGTAAATGTAATTAATATGGAATTGTACACTTAAAAATGGCTAAAATAGCAAAATGTTTGTTACATATATTTTTCCACAATGAAATGATTTTCAAAAACCATGTCTGTAGGATATGCATCAAAATAATACAGGATGGTGGGCACGGACAAGGATATGGTTGGGGCATAATAAAAAATCATGAGTTGAAAATTGAAGCTGGGTAATGGGTACGTAGAGGTTTGTTGTGCACTATTCTGTCAGCTTTCGCATTTGTTTACATTTTTCCATAATAAAAAAGATTTTTTAAAAATGCATTATGGCCAGTCAAGATTTTTCCCAGGAAGGAGGAGAGAACATGTCTCAGGAGGATTTCTTAGCGCAGCTCTGGATGTAAGGTGTGCTATATAAAACTTCTTCTGTCTTCCTTTTGAACTCTGGTAAAATTATTTCTCACAGTGCTTCTCACCTTATCTGAAGAGTTTTGTTTTTGTCAAGTTTGAAGAGTAGAATTGCTGACATAAATACCCTTCACATTTGAGAATCGAAGGCACCTAAAGAATACATGCACTGCAATAAAGAGAGATTTGTAAACATATCAGAACCAGGGCAAATTTATATTCAGTGGAGAGACTACCCTGGAGGCAGATAGGATCCTTTAGTGCAGTTATTATTAATATTAGAACCACTGACACCTGAGCCTGTAAAGTGTTTAAGTGGTTAACTATCTACTGCCTTGTGCGTACACTACTTCTCAAAACCACTACGATTTCTCCAGAGCTTAACATTTGTGAGTATAAAGTAACTATGTCTCCATACAAAACGATACCTAGAAAAGTCACTTGTGTCTGCTTTAATTTCAGGACAGGATTCCATGGCTCTACAAATTGCATGGCATTTTGCTAAGGTAAGAGAGCACTGGGCCTTGGCATGATAAGCCAGTGAGTGAGGAAAAGCCATCAGAAAGTACAGGGAAAAATTACATTCTTGGAATCACAACTGACTGATGATAAAGGACCCCAGAAATGAATGCAGTATGCTTCTAGCAGGAAGCAACAATGATTTCAATCAGCCACAAGCAACACATGGTTTAGTTATGCTCTGGAGACAAACCAGCTACACAGCTCCAATAATTATTAGCTGGGAATCTTGGTCAGCGACCTGACCTTATAAGCCTCAGTTTTTTTATCTGTAAAATGGGGATAAGTATAGTTCCTGCTCACAGGTTACTGTGAAGAGTGAGATGATGCGTGAGTAGCATTTAGAACAGTGTCAAATAAACAGTAAGTGCTCAAAAAATGTTAACTGATGCCACTACCATTATAAATTGTTACTGTTAGTGACCGTGGATTCGGTGACCTCATGCACAACAGAACATTGTGATCCATGGAGTTTTCATTGGCTGATTGTCAGGCTGGGGTCGTTCGTAAGTCCACAGGTAATTGGCTCCTGGGATTGGAGATCCGATCCAATCTGTGTAGTCCAGCTCTGTTGCATGCTCCTGAGCCATAGGCACCCACCCACCCCCATATGTGGGCTTGACCCCACTGAGACTTCTAGTTGGAACATGGAGAAAGGATGAGGAAAAGGCAAAGAATGGGTTATAAATCTTGCTTTCTAACACGAAGTCACATTTTATAAACCTAAAACAGTCTGGGCCATATGAAATGAGAATATATTTTTTATTGTTTGTTTTCACACCCCATTGATGTGGCTGCCAGCCCATCTGCATGGGCTCCTGATGTAGAGTTGGAGAACTGCCCACCTGGGTCTCTGACATAAATAGACACTGGAGATCAAATACACTGACCTGCAATGGAAGCAGAAGTGAAGACGCTCAGGAGAGCACAGATCAGACCTCTTTGTTGTTGTCACTGAGTTAGCTGCGTCTCATGATGACCTTATATAACAACAGAACATTGCCTGGTCCTTCGCCATCTTCATGATTGTTGGTATGTTTTGAGTCCATTGTTGCAGCTGTCAACTAGATGGACTGACACGGTAGCTGCAACAGTGGGCTCAGACATAGCAATAACTAAGGATGGCGCAGGACCAGGCAGTGTTTCCTTCTCTTGTACGTAGGGTTGTTACGAGTCAAAACCAACTCGATGGCACCTAACAACAACATTGTGTCAATCCATCTCATTGACCAAATAGAACATCCTTTTCTAGCAATTTCCTGATGTCATGCCCAAATTAAACGAGTTGTCCTCTAGACCCAGAATAAACAAGCTCTCACGCGTGGCCCTCAGGAAGAGCAGGAAGGCTCAGGGGTGTAAGTTGGTTTCTGATGATAAACTCCAGCCGCTGGTTCTCCAGTCTGCGTTGGCCATAAAACCAAAGTGAGGCCCCTTCAGAAGCCTCGGTTCTCAAGTGAACTTTCCACTAGATATCCAACCTGCTGTTTACGTTTCACCTCTTAACTCTAGAGTCTCAAAGAACCTCAGGATGACTGCCTCCCTGCCCAGGGGCCGGGGCACACTGGGGCTCAGTGGAAGCTGTGGCTTACTCTCTTGGGTGGTCTTTGACCACACAGGTTTTCCCTTATTGGTGCTTTGTCACTTTGCCTCTAGTTCTGACTCAGGTCCTTGGCAACTTCTCATGTCCTACTCGCCTTGACCACAAAGGGACAGATGCTCCCTTTTCTCCTGCTTTCTTCAGCTCTGCACCTTCTAGTAACTTCCCTCGACTTTTCCACCATACCATAGAGTAAGAATGGGGAGAAGCCAGTTGTGAAATTCAAGTCACTGAACGTGCTGTGGAGGAGACACTGAGACCTGCTGTGTTTTTGTGACGTGGGTGTCCACTGGCAGCCACCTGTGTCCGCACTCTGAGGCTGAGCCCATGTCCCAGTCCTTAAGAACAGAACCCACCCTTCTTGAGCCCTTCCTGTGCACCAGGCACCTTGATAAACATTTTCCTTACAGCAGTTCTAGGAGGCAGGCACTCTGAGCAGCCCCATTAACAGATGATGAACTGATGCTCAAGGAGGTATATACCTGCTCAAGATTGCTCAGTTCATTAATGGAAGATCTTTAACTCAAAGCTAGAACTGCCTGATGCTTAACCACCATTTTTTAACAACTGTTGGCAGAGAAGTAAGACTAGAGTCCTCAACCTAGAACTGACACCAAACCAAACCAGTTGCCGTTGAGTCAATTCTGATTCATGGCAACTCCATGTGTCACAGTAGAACTGTGTGCTCCATAGGGTTTTCAATGGCTGATTTTTCTGATGTAGATCACTAGGCCTTTCTTCTGAAGTGCCTCTGGGTAGACTCAAAACTCCAGCAGCTAAGCACGTTACATTTGCACCACCCAGGACTTCTAGAACTGGCTCAGATTATTTTAAATGTCTTCATTTCTTTAACCACCACCCCCCCGCTTTTTTTTAAACAGAGAGATAGCCTCAGGGGAGCGTGTGGTTCTAGCTTGTTCAGCTCTGAAGAAAATGTACAGAGACATCTTAATACGAGGCAAGGATGGTACCCCTCGGAAACATGACAAGTTGGGCAAGGAAGAAGAGCCACCTGAGGTGAAGCTCTTTGTGGTCCACCTGAGTGGGTCGTTTGAGGTCATCTCTGGACGCTTACTCAAAAGAAAAGGACATTTTATGCCCCCTAAGCTACTTCAGTCCCAGTTCAATACTCTGGAGCCCCCGTCAGCTCCAGAAAACTTCATCCAAATCAGTGTGGACAAAGAGCTTTCAGAGATCATCACTACCATTATGGAAGCTCTAAAAGTGCAGTGAGAATCATTCCACATCAGTGCTCCAGAACAGAATTAGGCTGAAATCTCTGTCCCATCCCAAACCTGGTCCCACATATCCTTGCCGATACTGGATTATAAATTCTTAAAGTGAACAAATCATAATTCATCTAGGTATACTTGTTTGGGTATATTTTTAGGAATTTGTGATACCCTTGGCATCATGCTTTGGTGAATGGGGGAGAGGGAGCTTTAAAAGTAAAGCTTACTTGAAGTTTAAATACACCTGTGATTCATTCAGAGGAAATTCTGTAACCAATGCTGGAAATCAGGGCCTTGTTTAGAATGCTCTTGATCATGCCTGTATTTGTACAAATAAATGTGATTTTACTATCGCTGGCATACCCTAGAAATTGGTCTCAGGAGCAGAAACACATGGAAAATCAACCCCTCACCAGCAAGTCATTTCACACCACACACCTTTGTATCCTCTCTGTCCTCGAACGTGGTTCAAAGCTGGGGTCCAGAAAGATAGTAATGAGGGAAGCAGCAGACACTTTCCAGCTCTTCAGAAAGCCTAATGCAAATTTACCAGCAGCAATACCAACTTTCTTGCCTCTTGACTAAAACTACGTCAGCTTAGTGAGGTAACATTGTCTGCTCACCAGCAGCTCTGATTAGCAGTTGTGTGACTTAAACATTGAAAAGGTAGAGCAGTCAACAAAATCTTTTATGATAATAAAAAGGATCATTTCTGGTAGAATAAAAATTGAAAATAATGATTAGAGAGAAAAGTAGGAGAGCTGCCAAAATAGTTCATCTGAGCAGTTCCTACCTCAAAATGTCTGCCTTTGCCGTGTCAGAGCTGGACGAGACAGACCTTAGTGACTGTCCCACAGTGTGCAGCAAAGCTGCTGCTGATGCCCAAACCAAAAAGCCAAACCCTCGGCTGTTGATTCCGGCTTGTGGCGGCCCCGTGTGTTACAGAGTAGAACTGCTCCACAGGGTTTTCTTGCCTGTAATCTTTACAGAAGCAGATCACCAGGCCTTTTGTCCGTGGTGCTTCTGGTGGGTCTGAACTGCCAACCTTTAGGTTAGTAGTCATGTGCAAACCACTGCAGGTGCAGGATTTCACCTCAGAGTGATTTCAGGCGCTGCAGTGAGCCACTTCCAGGCATGTGGTGGGAAAGTACCCCCAGCTGTGTTGGTTAAGCGCTCTTTCGGCTGCTAACCAAAAGGTCAGCAGCTGGAACCCACCAGCCGCTCCATAGGAGAAAGATGTGGCAGTCTGCTTCCCTAAAGATTACAGCCTTGGAAACCAGCTGGGGCACTTCTGCTCTGTCCTCTAGGGTCATTATGAGTTGCTTTTCCCTGCTGTGTGGAGAACATGTTTTGTGCTAGTTAGTGTGTCTTCAACCCCTCGACACTTGCTGATGTCCCTGTTTAACAGAGCACAGGCCTTAGGCTCAGGGCCCTGACAGTCTCTGCAATTTAATCACTTCCTGCTGTTCTTGATGTTTCATTTTAGTTTCCTTCTAGGTATGTCACATGTCCATTTTTCCATTTAAAGTTTTCAATTTAAAATAGTGACATAACATTTTCTTTAGAATATATATTTATGTTAAAGTGGGTCATTTAAAGATAGACAAAAAGTAGACATGGCTCATGGAGACACCAAAATTGCACAGGTAAGTTGAGCAGAGGAAGCATGGGCCTCACTGACCCACCCTAACCCATCTCGCAGACAGGAACTAAGGTCCCAAGAGAGCTCCGTGAAGCCGGGCTAATGCCAGAGCCCTCCTGACGGAAGAGACTGTAACAGCCATCAGCAACTAACGCTGGCCAGGAAGGAACACTTAACCATTGCGCCACCCAGGGAGCCCATTCTGGGCCTTAGGCCTAGCTTTTCTGTGGGTGATGACAAGAAACCTGAGGAACATGTAAATATGCGGACCCCCGCCCCCCACCCCAGCCTAATGAACCAGCATCTGTAATGAAGGGCCCAGGTCTCTGTCTAAAAGCTCCGTGGCTGACTGATGAGCTCCCAGGGCCAGGAAACACCAGGTATGGTCTGATGAGCAAGGCCATTTTGAAACCCCATTTTTTCTGAGCCTACTCTGACAGCAGCATCAGGGAGGCTTTTGAGGATGGTGAATTCAGGGCTAGATTGGTTCTTACCAAGCACGGACCATACTGAGCAACTCACAAAGGGCCACAGATGCTGTGCAGTCTCTCAAGTGGTCCTCTGGGCAGGTTGACAGGGTAGGAGGCGCCTGATACTAGGAGGGTGCTAAAGTGAGGTGGCTGATTTATCTGGCAGGGATCACATGTACAAGTGGCCACAGAAAGGGATGGAGTGAATTCCTTTTACTGATTTGCATGGCCTTGGATGTATCCCAGAGACAGCACACCACAGGAAAGCTGGATTTTCTAAAATGGTCTGTCCAGAGGAAAAGTGTCTGTTTAATGCCATCTTAATAAAGCCTGGGTCTTCCAATCTCAAGATACCCATTCAGGACAATGGGAAGTGTTTCTCTTGGCTTAGCAGTGGGGGCTGAGATGGAGATCTGTGAGGCCTTCTGGTGAAATGAATACACAAATAACAAAACAACAACAAAAAACCCAAACAAGATGCCATCAAGTCATGGTGACCCCATGTGTGTCCACAGAGTTTTCCGTGGCTGATTTTTCAAAAGTAGATTGCCAGGCCTTTCTTCTGAGTTACCTCTGGGTGGACTCGAACCTCCAACCTTTCAGTTAGCAGAGTGCATTAACTGTTTGCACCATCCAGGGACTCCCGGACATTCATGTAGGACAAATGAGAAAAAAATCTTCATAATGATCTGAGCACAGAACCCAACTCTAATACAGAAATTTTTTTTGAAGTTTTAATAACACTAAATTTCCAAGAATGCAGTAACCTTTTAAATAAAAGGACAACTGTATTCCATTTTATTTTACACTTTACCAAGAATTGTTTCTTTTCAGAAAATCACGATGCATTACTGCCACCAATACAGCCCACCTGCTTCCATCTGCATTTATAATTCTTCATTCACAGCGATCCAGGTGCAGACACAATCATCTGACTATAAACTGTGTTGTGTAGGTGTGCCAAGCTGGAATACACTGATTTATTAAAAGCTACTGTTGTGGATTGAATTGTGTCCCCCAAAAATGTGTGTTAACTTGGCCATGATTCCCAGTGTTGTGTGACTGTCCACCATTTTGTCATCTAATGTGATTTTCCTATGTGTTGTAAATCCCACCTCTGTGATGTTAATGAGGTGGGACTAGAAGCAGTTATGTTAATGAGGCAGGACTCAATCTACAAGATTAGGTTGTATCTTGAATCAACCTGTTGATATATAAAAGAGAGAAACAAGCAGACAGACAGGGGGACCTCCTACCACCAAAAAAGAAGAGCCGGGAGCAGAGTGGTCCTTTGGACCCAGGGTCTCGGTGCCGAGAAGCTCCTAGACCAGGGGAAGACTGATAACAAGGACCTTACCCCAGAGCTCACACAGAAAGCCTGCCCCTGGAGCTGGCCTCCTGAATTCAGACTTCTGGCCTCCTACACTGTGAGAGAATAAATCTGTTTGTTAAAGCCATCCACTTGTGGTATTTGTTACAGCACCTCTAGATAACTAAGACAGCTACTTACTTTATAGAGTTAAAGCATCATATTTAATTACTTGCTTAGGTAAGTTTTATCCAAAATTCATTTTATTTCAAAATGATAAAGTGGGCACTAGAAATTAGTTGTTTAAAAAAGGAGCATTGAGTCTGGTGGGGTTGAGAATCCCTGCTCTGGCCTTGGCAATGGAGGCCTCTGAGGCCGGCATGTGGAGGAGTGAGCCAGTGCTGCCCTCTCGTGGCCCAGGGAGACACAGCAAGCACAAACAATGTTCTTGAGCCCTGAAAACCCCTCTAGCCGCCAAGGGTTTGAATGTGCCCCTTGGTTGGGGCAGTGGGATGCAGCTCCTCCGGTAGCCTTGACTACACACACCCGACTGGCCTCTTCGACTGTGAAAAACGGACAGGCAAGAACTGTTTGAAGTGGCACAAAATAGATTTCCCAACCCTACAAATAGCACTCACATCCCTCCTCTGGCAGGCCTTTACCCCTCCTGTCATGTACCCACTCGTACTTGTCCCTCTCCTAGTCTCCACTCTCCACCACCGAGGATAGTCAGGTTAAACACTTTTCTCCCCTGTAAAATGGGGATATCACCTGCCTCAGAAGTTTGTGAGAAATAACATATGCAAAGCCCTGAGACCGGAACCTGGCTGAAATACAAATGCTCATAACTCACCCCTGGAATCTGAAGGCATGTGGCCATATGGAAAATACTCTCACCCCTTTGCTTTTCAAAGGGTGGGAAAGTGATGGGCCCATTCTAAATATGTGAACTTTTAAGTCTTTTGGCTCTAACTGCTCTTCCTTCTTAGTCCCTGCCAGAGGTATCCTCCCACTCCTCCCCCAGCCCTTAGCCAGGTTGTCAGGCAGGGTCTGGGATGTTGCCCCTGAAGTATGGATGACCTAAATCAGGACCCAGAAAAGACTGGGCTCTCTAGGCATGGCTCTGCAGTAAATTCACTCGGTGACCATGGCCAGGTCAGCCCTCGGGGTGTCACCAGGTGCCCTCACACCCTGTGCCTCTCTAAAGACTGCCCTGGTGAGCAAACTGTTTTCCAGTGGACAGGAGTACAAAAGCAAGTGGAAAATTTAAACAGGCTCACTATGCAAAGATATCATGGACCAGGGATTTTAATTTTCTGGAACTGTAATACGCAAGTTTATTCTCCCTTTACCAAACAGCACATGTATAATGCACCTCATGCACACCCACCACTCGTCTTTGTCAGCGGAGGCTCAGGTGTTGCTATGATGCTGAACAGGTTTCAGTGAAGCTTCCAGATTAAAGTGGACTAGGAGAAAAGGCCTGGCAATCTACTTCTAAAAATTAGCCAGTGAAAACCCTACTGATCACACCGATCCAATCCACAACCACTCCAATCCACAGCCACTCGGGATGACACTGGTCTGGGCAGCATTTCATTCCACTGTGTGTAGAGCTGCCATGAGTCATGAGGTATTAACTCTATCATGGGCATTACTAATGAGCAATTGTCAAGGAACTAGAATTATTTAAGAAATCTAGTGCACAAGTTGTGTTAGACAATAATGTGGGGAAGTGTTTCCAACGCAGCTCCACAGAACCTCAGGTGTAAATTATTAGGGCTGGTGCTCATCTGGGAAGAGCAGTGGCGCAGTGGTTAAGCATCTGAACCTACCAGCTGCAGAAAGGTATGAAAGGAGAAAGATGTGGGAGTCTGCTTCCATAAACATTTACGGCCTTGGAAACCCTATGGGGCAGTTCTACTCTGCCCTACAGGGTCGCTATGAACTGGAATCAACGCGACGGCAACGCGTTTAAGAAGCTCTGGTGGTGCAGTGGGTTAAAGTGCTCAGCTGCTAACCAAAAGGTCAGCGGTTCGGGCAATATCAGACTGCATAAGCCGCATATACATCCATGCTCCCATCAGGCCTGACCCCTCCCCCAGAGAGGAAAGCACTTGCCCTGCAGGTAGGAAGGGGTGGGAGAGGGGACAGGCCTGATGGGAGAACCAAGGTATATGCGGTCAGATGTAGCCAGAATGGACATTAGGCAGCACATAACTATGATGTTCACACAACATCCAAATCACCTAACGTCCTGTTTCACAGAACATATTGCGGACATTAAGCGATGCACGACTGTACAGGATTTGGGCTAACGTTAGGTGATTGTAAGGAGAGTTCAAAGAAACAGGACTCTGTCTGAATTGGATGCTGTCAGGAAGTGGGGAAATTCTGTTAATTAGGTATCTTAATAAATCTTATCTATAAAGTGAGAGGAATGAAGTGAGGATAAAGCTGTAACTGGTAAAGAAGCACATTAGCCAGGATAGGGAGATGTTTGGTTATTTTTGTGGTTTGGACAATGTTCATGTTTTTGTCAGGTGTGATTACAGAATGATCTTGTTTCTGTCTTCATCCATCATGGTCAGAGCAGTCTTGGCTGATAGAGGTGTTCTGTGAAATTTGTTTATGTTCAGCAGGACACCAAGGCCACCAGCTCCCAGATGAAAAGAGCTGCTTTTCTTCTCACTGGCAGAGATCACTGTCATTCATGAAGGCCTTTTGGGCCCAGAACTGAGATAATTGGGGCCACATCATTTATCTTTTGGGGAGTAGGGAACAAGCAGAGAGCTCAGATGGGGGTTTAATTTGAACTTCTCAAGAAACGGCACGGGAGAAAAGACCTAGCAATCTGTTCCCATAAAGATTACGGCCCAGAAAACCTTATGGGGCAGTTTTACTCTGTCACATGGGGTCACTATGGGTCAGAATCAACTGGACTCTATGGCCCCAACCCAACAACAAAATAAATTTACCTATCAAAACCACAGGTCTTGCAAATCAAAATATAATGAGATACCACTTTATATCCACTGAGATTACCGTAAGTAAGAATGGGCAAGGATGTGGAGAAACTAGAACCCTTGTCCACTGCTGGTGGGAATGTAAAATGGTGCAGCTGCTATAAAAAAGTCTGCTGGTTCCTCAATAAGGTAAATATACCATATAAACCAGCAATTCCGCTCCTGTTGTTGTTATTGTTGTTAGGTACCATTGAGTCAGTTCCAACTCATAGCGATCCTATGCACAACAGAACAAAACACTGCCCAGTCCTACACCATCCTCACAATCATTGCTGTGTTTGAGCCCATTATTGCTGCCTCTTGAAGTGAGAGCAAGTTTTCAAACAACTTCCAATGTTCATAGTAGCTCTATTCACAACAGCCAAAAGGTAGAAACTCAAATGTCGACCAACAGATGAACATCCTATTGACTCTACCTTCAAAATACAGCCC